AGCTGTGCTGACACTGCTGAGCCTCCGGTGACAGATTCACAGATAGTAAAGATAGTTACTGAAAGCAGCAGGCGAGCTAACGATGTAGCACGTTGGCTAAATGCAGTAAATGTACCGTGATCATGTAACGAGCACGGATTAGTTCAACCTGCAGCTGATAAAACTATTACTGTAACGTTGCAGTGGGAGTTTACCTGAGTTTCCAGCTCTGTCTGTTCTCCCTGTCTGTCTATAGTCGCTGTCACTCTGCCTTTTTTCGGGAGGATTGTGCCGATATGCAGCTCGCTGCTGAATTAAGTAACGTTACGGCGCCGGTGTTGAGCTGCCTCTGAGACGGGAACGTTGAAGTAACAGAGCCTGAACATGTCTGAGTGAAAAGCCGCAGCCTGCATGCTGGTGTTTCTGCATTTATTGCAGGATTTCTGTATGACAGTGGTTGTGTTTTGGATTCTGCTCGCTCATGACTTCAAGCGAGCACGCGTACGAGCTCACGCCTGGTTGCAATCTTAGAACCGCAGCGCTAGTGGCCGCTGAAAACTACATAATGCCCCTTTAAATGTGGGTCAGTGATGTGAAAGCTGTGAGTTAAAGTGTGTCAGAGTGAGGGTTTGTTTGTGTTTCACAGGTGAATAATGATGAAGATGAAGATGATGGTGTGGTGAACTATGAAAACGATGGAGACCCTTCTGCCTCTGTCAGACTCCACTGATCAACAACTTCCATATCAACATCAGCTCATCAGAGAAAAGACTCCACTGCAGTTAAATAACAGCACATTTACACGAGTAGTTGAAGCCTTTAGAGAACTGTTGAGAAGATTTCTTAAGGTGCTTTGTTTATGTAACAAGGAAAGGTCAGACAGGTCTAGCTTAGAGTAAAGCCTAGTTCACACCACACGGCAAGTTGTGCAGTGTGAACAGCACGGCCATCGACCGACGCTGAAAGTCGTGTCGTCTGCGTGAGCCTTAATTTAGCTGACCCCATAAGTGTTTTCTGACCTTCTAGCTCGAGGTGTTTCTCACACGTCCTTGTCAGCGAGACAACAACAGACTGATTAGGTAGAGTCAGTAGCTCATGCGTCAGGCTAGCAGATATCGGTGTTCTCCGGTAATCATACAAGGTTGAGTCCTACAAGAATGTTTCCAAGAACCTACTGGCTCCACAGGTTAGAGCACAACTCATGGGTAGTGACAGATTCCAACATGATGAAGCACTGGAGTCTAAACATCAGATAGATGAGTTGTTCTGGGTTAAGGCCAGTTAAAGATGAGCTAATAGGGAAACCTACAGGCACTAGGGGGAAGACAGAAACATAAAAGGGACCAAAAGATGTCGTCCTTCAGATTTGGTGTTGGCATTTGATGTGTTCACATGTTGTATGCTGGCACTGTGTCTCCTCGGCCGGGCTCAATAAACCATGCTATGTTAAGTCTTCATCAGTCTCTGAAACTTCTTCACACCTGAACCTGGCTCACAGTATTTCTTCAACGATAACAAAAGTCTCATCAGATCATTTTTAGATTTTTATTACTGATTGTTTTTGTTTTTATTTATCAGTGTGAGAAATGTTTGTGTGTTTTGTGCTCAGCTGTTTCTGTTTCAGTCTGACTTTGAACAACAATATTCAAGTCTTGATTTCATCTCATATCAGGAAGCCCACTGTGAGTTTTATAAAATGTCTTTTCCTGCATCAGTTGTGAAAATCTTTATTTTCTGCAGCCAGTTCAGAACACAGCAGCTGGATTTCAGCTTCATTTAACAGGAACGAGCATTTAACTCTAGTAACAGTCTCCTCTTTATTATATCTGATAACAATATAAACTGCAAATAAAGAAATGTTCACCACTTTAGTCTACATTGTGTTTGTGATTCCTTCATGTACTAACGGTGTCATAATGGAAAGTGAATATTCTTTACTGTTAGGAATGTGGTTTTTGTGTTCATGTCTTTCCTGTTTAAGTCTGTTTTTGGTTCTGTGTTTCTCTGTGTAGTCTTGTTTAGTTAGTTCTTAGTCCTGCACATTAGTTAATGTCTTTTGTGTTTACTCCTGGTCTTGTGTTCCCTGTTTAGTCTTGTGTGTTCCCTTGTTCATTTACTGGTTCTGTTTAGCTCTGCATCTCAGCCCTGTGTCGTACTTGTGTATTCTGGGTTAACTGTCTCTCTCTGCCGGCCTGGTTCTGTCATGATCCCGTCTGTGTGTCTTGTTTGGGAGTCTGGGTTTAGTTCCATGTCCTTAGTTCATGTTTTGGTGTTCATTCCTGGTCATTATTGTGGTTTGGTCTCCTCTGTACTCGGTGTTCTAGTTCTGTGTTCTCGTTTAGGTTCTGGTTCTTTGTAACTTGTGTGTGTTTCTGTCTTCTTGGTTATTCACTCTGCCCCATGTCTGCTTGTCTAAGTGTTCTCTCTGTTTCCCCCTGCTGTCTCTCTGCCTGCCTGCTTGTCTCTCTGTCTCTGCCTCGTTAGTCCTGATCCCGCTCACCTGTGTTGCTCCCGCCCCGTCGTTAGTCCCTGTGTATATTTATGCCTGCTTGTCTCTCCAGTCTTTGTCACGTACTTGCGTCTAATGTTGAGTGTTCCTTTGTTTTCCTTGTTCTTGATTATTCCCTGTGTTTTTGGATCGCCTTGTGTTCTGGATTACCTTTGTTTGGACTTTGCCTCGAGCTCCTTGTAAGCCTGTTTCAGTTAGTCTTTTGAATTAATAAATGTTTTTGAACTGCAACCTCCTCGCCTTGCCATTGTCTGCATTTGGGTCCTCACCTCAGTCTGCACTCAGCTCCCCGACCCGTGACACTTTACTATGAATGTTCTGCCTCTACTAGTAGAACCACCTCCCTCCTCTTGTCCCCTTCTAGTAGTAAACCTTCCCTCTGGAGGACCTCTAACCTTCCAGTGTCATGTTACGTCAAGCAGGGAGCAGATAAAGCAAGGATTCAGACAGAGTGCGAATTATACAGTGACAATCGAGGGGTCAACTTTTTTCCAGGTCATAAAGGAAACAGCAGGCGCTTGCCTCAGTGAACTGAGCTCTTATCCTGCATTCAGACCAAACGCAAATTTAATCTTTGCAACGCTTTAACGCGAATAACCACAACTCACCATTACTACAGCTGTATGAAACCAAAGTAAACATTTTGCTGGGATTTAATTGCAGTAAACGGATCAAACTGATTCAGAAATAACAACAATATGATGGAGATTTGTTAAACATATGAATTCATGCTTTGTCAGGTCTTTCAGCAAGTCAGCAGGACAACAACTTCTAAAAGGTTTGTTTTCTGAATGGAGTTTGGATCGATCAGGGCTATGCTACGCTAACTTGTTCACAGTAAAGTACAACGATAGCTGGAATAAAGTTACAGACACATATTTTCTGAACTCACCAGGTAGTTCAACTTCCTCGCTTTCTTTTCTCCAAGTAAAGTTCAGTTTTTTATATAAATATGAAGTATTAGTCCAACAGAGCTCTGGGTGCCAACCTACGCTAACAACATTTACATTTATTCATTTATTTTAGCTTTTATCCAAAGTGACATACAATTGCTGTATATGTCAGAGGTCGCACGCCTCTGGAGCAACGAGAAGTGTCTTGCTCAGGGACACAATGGTGGATGGGTCACAGTGGGGGATTGAACCAAAGGCAAGTGTCTTAGCCACTGCGCCATCACCCCTTCTAACAACAACAGTGAAACCGGATGTGCATGGAAGCTAGCTGCTGAGAAGCTCCAGTGAAGATAAATCAACGTTGTCATCCGCAAAACTAAAGTGAAAAGCTAATTTAATAAAAGCAGTTTACTCCGAGCTCCTCCCACGGGTAAACAGCGTAGTTGTAAGAGTGTAATCCAAACCGACCGCGGGTGTTTATTTGTCCAAAAGCTGCAGCGCTGCTCTCTGCTCTGTCCTCGACTTCTCCAAGTGTAGCAGCTCTCCGCCGGCCAGCGGCATTTCAATCCCCCGCTCTGCCCGGCCCTCTCCACACAACGCTCTGAAGCCATCGGTGATGTCAGGATGATCTCAACGCTGATAGGCTACAGCGACTTAGCGTCAAGCGACTTTCTCGCTCGAGTTGAAAATGTTCAACTCACGCAAAGGCCTTCTCGTTACCGGCAGCACCCTCTTCACACCGCTCGTGGCGCTATGTGTCTTTGCATTGACTTTGTATGTAAACGCAGCGCCCACAACGCTCACTTTGCTTTTGGTCTGTAAGCACCTTTACAAAGTTACAATCTCCTTGTTTCTTTAACGTAATGTCTGCAGTCTGTAGATGAGGATGAATCAAGTTCACCAGTTCATGGGTGCCACAAACAGGAGTCACCAAATATTGTAGAAAGTCAGACCCACACAATGCTGAACCAGAACCAAAGACACTATCATAAAATACAGTCTGCATTATCATCTCTAATTCATAATTCTTATCATTTCAAGTTTTAACTTTCAACTTACTCTTTTCTTAGCAAACATCTCATTTCCTCTAGCTCATGTTAACTGTGAATGAAATGTAATCTGCGTTCAATAAAGTAGTAGTCATACATGTGAAACAACAAACCTGGATTTGAACATTTTTCAGTTACCTAGCCAGGTAAAACTCCCAAATTCCAGAGTGAAAACAAATGGCGTGCTTATTGTAAAACACAGGCGAGCCAACACTAGACAAAAAGGAATACACACACTTAAATACCCAAGAGAGGTGGAGGAAACGAGACACAGGTGGAAACAAAAATCAACTCAAGGACAGGAAGTGAACTGACAAAGACCCACGAGGAAGGATTTAACAAAAGAAAACAGGAATCACCAAACTCACAACCAAAACCAGGACATCCAGGGGTTAAAGTAGTTTTCATCAGAATTTGATAAACGCCTGTTTGTCTCATGTCCACATTCTCACCAAAACATTCCTATTCAGCTCAGTCAGGAGAGACTTAAATGAAAAAGAGGCTTAAAGAGGAATTAAAAGGAAAAGGAACAGGAGAGTTTAAGAAATGTGAGAGGGATGTATGGCCTACCTGGTGGAGGGGCTGTGACCACAGAGGCCAGAACCAGAATGGATGTGAAGGGCTCAGTGGGATCACTGAAGACTGCTTGATCCACCAGCTGCTGGAGCGAGAGAGGGAGGGAGGCCTGGAGCTGGAGTGATGCTGCAGTCTTTTATCTGGTCGGGGTCCTCCAGGAGAGAAAAGACAGTTTGAAAGTTTGACAGCAACGATATGATTGGCTCACAGAGGTTGTGGCAAATTCTGATTGGTTTAACTGAAAGAATGAACGCCCTCAATCTAATGACGGAGTTGGAAGCAGAAAAAAGGAAGAGAGGGGGCGGGGGAGAAATAGAGTCAGCATGAACGATGTCTTCCTGATTCAACTTCTGCTGAGTTTCCTTAATCTTAAAAAAAAGAGCTGCAAAGATAAAATGAGGAACCAGCAGATCTCAGAGCAGTAAAATATCATCTTATCTGTGTTCTTCAGCAGCTGCTACAGTATCACCATATTGCACCATGGACATCAGGAGTCAGATTCTGGTGGGAGAGGAGTTTGACTCTTCACCTGTCTGTTCATGTGTGCTGTCAAACATCACCATGGATCCTGTCTGTTTTCTAATAAACACTATCTGAAGAAAACAAGTTGCATCATTGCAAACATTTATCTTAACTAACAATCTTCACACCTTCAGCTTCCTCTTCTTCTTCTTTTCGCTTGGTGAAACACGTCATTGTCACAAATAGACCTGAATGAACAAAGTGTGAACTCTGATGGCTGCATCTCATGTTGCTGATCAAGAATTTGGGGTCTCTGTCAGTCACTGTGGATGAGAGAAAACTACATTTCAAAATGTAAAAGTGAAAACTGTAAGTTTTTGGACATCGACAAGAAATTCAGAGAGACTGAAATCTAAAACAGACTAAAAGTCACTATGAGGAAGTGACATCATCCTAACCACAGGAAGTAGCTGCAGCGTCTCTCTACTAAAGCACTAGTTTAGAAACTCAGACAGTTCTGAGCACGAGAACAAGAGACAGAAGAAGGAGAGACTCAGAGAATCATGATGGTTGAGTTCAAATGGATTTCTTTATTTCTTACAGCGGTGCTTCAGTTTACAGGTAAGAATACATATATCACATATATAAATGGAAGGCACATTGTAAAAAATAACTTGATCAATATTATTAAAGATTCTTTATTAGCTACATTTGATTTAACTAAGAAAACCAAATCTGTTGTTTCTAATGTGGTGAGTTTAGTGAACTCTTGGAAACTAAGGATAAAGAAATAATCGTCACTAACTATGAACATAACAGACATTTTCTCATTTCACTTTATTTTTCATCATTTTCTCAACAGCAGCAGCTGAAAACTTCCCCTCTCCTTCACTGTCAGAGTTGGAGATGACGTCACTTTGCCTTGTAAAAGTGATAGACGGTCAGAAAAGATGTGAATATACTACATGGTTCTTCAGTGGTTCAGGAAACCCAGCAGCAGTAAAGCTGGTTAAACTTGGGCAGATTGTTGAAAACGCCAAATCTAAATCAGACAGACTGAGTGTTACAGAGAACTGTTCTCTGGTTATAAAGAAGGTCACAGTCGAGGATGTTGGTCGTTATGACTGTCAACAGTTCATATCAGGACAACAACAAGCTCCAGACTCTCTGGTTCTTCTGTCTGTTATTATCAGTGAGTATTTCCATCATAATGTTTTCAGCTCAAACTGTCTTGTTAGAACAATATACTGAAACATTACAATAATTATGATCACAGTGATGAAGTTAACTTTACTCTTGTTGTCTTTCTCTCACAATATCTCCATCTTCACCAGTGACTGAACGTAAGGACGCTGATAAGGTGACGTTAACTGCTCTGTGTCGAACATGACAGTTCTGTAACACACAGTGAAGTGGCTGTATGAGGGTAAAGATGTGGACAAAGATAACAAAGACATGAAGACATCACAGTCTGTCTGCTACGCCGCTGTGTCTTTCCTGGATTCTCATTTTAGTTACAAATCAAAGTCTAACTTGAAGTGTGAAGTGACAGATGGTTACTCTGGAAAAGTGCAGCTGTTCACCTTCAGCCCTCAGTCCTCAGGTGAGAAAACAGGTGAGAATATGCTGAGCTGGTGTGCGTTTCCCGAACAACCACGTAAGGTAACGTTGAACTATGTTGGTACGATGCATCGTTACTCAAACAAACATCTGAAATACGACCGTTTCCCTAAACTCTCATACTTTGAACTAATTAGTTTGAGCCAACGTAGGTCGAACTAACATGTTTCCAGGTGTGTTCGTCTGACTTTCACAGCACGAAACTCACAAAACGTCATATTCTACCTAAATATGTCAGTTGTGACCGATATTAAGTGACATTATTTTGCGAACTTATTATTTAGGCTTTTTATATTATTGTCGTACCGGCAACAACAAGAAAATCAACAATAGCATTAATGAAATCAACAATATAAATAATATATAACCTAATCAATTTATTTAGCCTAAATATCAGCTATAACTTTTACAGCGATTACAAGACATTTAGTGAAATAGGTTTAGTATCTTTGTGTCAACACTGTAACACTATTATGAATCCCTTGGCATCTGACATCTAGGTTTTGAGAACAGCTCAGTGCGCTAAGTGTCTGAGCTTACGCATGTTCTCTATTGAGACAGATACGACTCCCGTGAGTTCTCTATTTATCTTTGTTATAAAGGCAACGAAAACTCTCAGGGATTTATTCATTACAGTACTTTCATGGATTTTATGCTGTCCCTTTTTATGTTTGTAATGAAGACTAGAGAACACCCATCTTCCCCAGAGGCCCAGAAACGTATACATGTAGGTAATATTAAAAGTCTTGTCTTTACATTCTCCGTTTTGTCCTTTAACCTTTGTACTGGGTGACTAATATTAAATTAAGTTATTGTGAGCAGACGGGTAATCTGTGAGAAAAACACCTGCTGTTTGTAGATGGTCTACACTGAGATACTTAGTAGCCTACTGAATCAATGCAACCCTACCCATGACCCCACAAATACATTTAAAAGTACTTTTACAACTACATTTTTTTTTTTAAATTCACCTTAAATATGTTTGTACAGCAGGATTATCTAACATTCCCTGCTTAAAACACATCACATCCACCTCCTAACACTGCATTTTCTGCTCTCTGTGACGTAGTCACCGTGAACTAAGCTTCTAACCACAGGTCAGGAGCTGTAGTTCCAACTATGCAACTTAACAACAGTTGGTGCGAACGTTCGTCTGAACTATGGTTTCAGGGAACACCTGCGTCGCTTAACGATGGTTCGTACCGTGTAAGTTACAACTTAGTTACCTCCGTAGTTCCAACTAGGGTTTTAGGAAACAGTTGCGTCGCAACTGCAAAGTTCCAACCAAGGAAGTTGCTACCGCAGTCAGCAACGATGCTTTTGGGAAACACACCCCTGTTCAAGATGATTAAAACCACCAAAACATTTGTTTATTTGATGACTTTTCACAGTGATGAACTTTACTCTTGTTTTCTTTCTCTCGCAATATCTCTGACATCTAAACCAGCAACAACAACAACAACTAAACCAGCAACAACAACAACATCTAAACCAGCAACAACAACAACTAAACCAGCAACAACAACAACTGAAAACACAAAATCAACAACCAATGATGCTTCAACAAAACTACAAGGTAGTAACTCATCTTTCTCTGGAGTCTCTCTGTCTTCCTGTCAGCCTCTTTCTCTCCACATACTGAACTTCATTATTTTACTTTTCATTTTATTCATTTTAATAAACGTTGTTATTCAAGTATTTTGGAATTTTATGGCAAAACTGAAAAAATCTTCTTTAATTAAGTGACTGCAAAGACTAAACAAACCCTTCATCATAGGAAAATACAGAATACAGGAAGCAGAGCCGGCCCTCGGCCTTCGGGGGCCCTATTGAAAATTTAGATGGAGGCCCCTCTGACTGTCGGGCGTTGTCACTATATATGACACAGAAACATCTCTTGTTTTTAAATAAGACCCGATGAATCTTTCTTCTGTTTCTAAACCTGCCATGTTTGTTTAGCACAAACACACCAAAGCAAATTTCTTGAACCTACTTGGCAATAAAGCTGATTCTGCTGAAAAACAATAACTCTATATTATTATATCTACTATGTTTGAAGTCAAACAGGAAACACATGATACCACCAGAGCTACTGAGCTTAATGGCAGTTCAAGAGCCAGTAGACACTGATGAACTTAGTGCTGAATAAAAAGACTCATAAAGTGATTATGACCAAAGCTTAAATCTTTAATAACAGCCAAACAAGAGTTTAAGAGACAAAAACTAGGAAACAGCTGACAGCATCATTTTCTCAACCTGCTTCTTTATGAGTGATCTAAACATGTAATGATAGAAAAGACTTTTACTGTCTGAGTGTCTTTTTGGAAAAGTCTAAATGTCTCTGTCAACCTGTGCTGGTTTTACCGCTCACCACATCAACGTGTAACTGGTCGTTAAGTCCTGATGTCCAGTCAGCTGGATCCACTGGAGCAGCAGAAACTGGAGAGACAGGTGTGCTGGTACCACGATGGTACTGCTCTCCACTTCAGTAGCCACAGGTAGACCTATGAGGAAGATTAACACATAAAATAAGTCATTTCAGTAAGTTGACATGTTCATACACTGAGTGTTGCTAGAGGTGAATAATTGTTTAGTTATTGTTGATGTAGGCCTAAACTTACCAGCACTGTCAGCTTCCTGCAAGCTACAGCGTTAGCACCGTTGATACCAGCGCGGCTAACTGAGGCTAATCTAAGACCTTCAGTGCAGATTATCTAAAAATACAGGCATAGGAAACGGAGCCTGTGGGCTTACGCACCTTTATCTTCTTGCCTCCTCTCTTCTTAGAGGCTCTTCTGATGTCTTTTTACACGTCCAGAAAAATATGATCTTCTCTTGTCAGACATCGAGCCTGACGGACTCAGCGTAACGAGTGATGTTGGTGACGTCTCAGGGTCAGTCAGGGTCAGGAGTCTCAGGTCACAGCTGATTTTCCATAGTATATAACTACATTAAATAACCAAAGTGCTTATTGTGGTGCGAATTATAGAGATCTGTCTTTCATGTTAGTTTACCACTAACAAGCAGTGACTGTAGGGGCCCTCTGCTGCCCACGGGGCCCTCTGCTGCCCACGGGGCCCTTCGCCACCGCAAAGGTCGCTTAGTGGCTGGGCCGGCTCTGACAGGAAGTGATCAAGAAAAAATGATTATTGATTTATTGATTCTCTCCCTTTTAATTTTCAGTGTTCAATTTTCAATTTCAAAATGGCTTTATTGTTTATTGTTTATTTCAACAGTAAACAAAGAAACATTATACCAACCTTAACAATAATAACATTGTCTCTGTAGAAACGGTGTGATGGTTTCATATTTGTGTTCCTCTGGTTGTCTTCAGGTTTTGACATGTACGTGTATATTTAGCTGCGATTATTTCACATCTTTGTGTTTCACCTAGTAGGTATGGAAGTTGTCCTTTATTATTTTTGGCCTCATATTCAGGATAGGTTTCAGTAATTTGGGAAAATAGTTTTCTCTTAGATCTTTGTGTTTTTCACATGTTGTGTTGCTCATTTTCTATTTCATGTGACGTTCAAAGTGAGCAGATCCTTTCCTCTCTATGAGTTTGTCTCTGGCGGCCCGTCTCGATGGCCAGGTTCTGATCACTGACTCTGTACGTGTCAAGGTTCTCTGTTTTTTGTTGGGTATGTTTGTTGGGTGTGTAGCTTCTGTTTAAGGCAAAATAACACTGAAGTTTTACTTCCAGACCTTTGCAAATTTTTATATATATATAAAATTTCTTTCCATGCACATGAATTTTTAGTATACATTGGTTTTATGATGTCAACACCTCTTTCAAGCAGTTTATAGAATAAGCTATTTCTCTCTCTGTCTTCTTCTAAATTCTAAACAACGAATGTCAGATCGACGCTTAGCTGTTGATGGAAATATTCTCTTATTCAGTCAGACGTCTTCACACAACACAAAATGATAAAATCACAAATAAAATGTCCTTTTTTATTCTCTTTCCAGGTTTTACAGCCACAACAACAACCAATGATCCTTCAACAAAACCACAAGGTAGTAACTCATCTTTCTCTAGAGTCTCTCTGTCTTCCTGTCAGCCTCTTTCTCTCCACATACTGAACTTCATTATTTTACTTTTTATTTTATTCATTTTAATAAACGTTGTTGTACACGTATTTTGGAATTTTATGGCAAAACTGAAAAAATCTTCTTCTAATTAAGTCACTGCAAAGACTAAACAAACCCTTCATCATAGGAAAATGCAGAATACAGGAAGTAGAGCCGGCCCTCGGCCTTCGGGGGCCCTATTGAAAATTTAGTTGGAGGCCCCTCTGACTGTCGGGCGTTGTCACTATATATGACACAGAAACATCTCTTGTTTTTAAATAAGACACGATGAATCTTTCTCATGTTTCTAAACCTGCCATGTTTGTTTAGCACAAACACACCAAAGCAAATTTCTTGAACCTACTTGGCAATAAAGCTGATTCTGCTGAAAAACAATAACTCTATATTATTATATCTACTATGTTTGAAGTCAAACAGGAAACACATGATACCACCAGAGCTACTGAGCTTAATGGCAGTTCAAGAGCCAGTAGACACTGATGAACTTAGTGCTGAATAAAAAGACTCATAAAGTGATTATGACCAAAGCTTAAATCTTTAATAACAGCCAAACAAGAGTTTAAGAGACAAAAACTAGGAAACAGCTGACAGCATCATTTTCTCAACCTGCTTCTTTATGAGTGATCTAAACATGTAATGATAGAAAAGACTTTTACTGTCTGAGTGTCTTTTTGGAAAAGTCTAAATGTCTCTGTCAACCTGTGCTGGTTTTACCGCTCACCACATCAACGTGTAACTGGTCGTTAAGTCCTGATGTCCAGTCAGCTGGATCCACTGGAGCAGCAGAAACTGGAGAGACAGGTGTGCTGGTACCACGATGGTACTGCTCTCCACTTCAGTAGCCACAGGTAGACCTATGAGGAAGATTAACACATAAAATAAGTCATTTCAGTAAGTTGACATGTTCATACACTGAGTGTTGCTAGAGGTGAATAATTGTTTAGTTATTGTTGATGTAGGCCTAAACTTACCAGCACTGTCAGCTTCCTGGATGAAACCAGTGATGGAGGTAGAGGTGGAGGCTGATGGACCTGCTGTGAAATAAGAAGAATAAATAAATTGACTGAATTGAAATGACTTGTGCTCTTAGCTTAAATCTGGAGGATCTTATATCTTATTTAGATAAGATGTCTTTTCAACACTGGCAGCTTTGGAGGAGGCTCCATGATGCTGCTCCAGAATCAGTCCTTAAAAACAGCGACTACACACTCCCTAGCTGACACATTTGATTTATAATCAAAGGACAGGGCCTCTCTATAGGTTTAACTCAAACACATGACCTACCAGCAGTGTCAGCTTGTTGGGTGACAAACAAACAACAACAACGACAGAAAACACAAAACCATTTACAACCACAACAACAACCAATGATGCTTCAACAAAACTTCAAGGTAGTAACTCATCTTTCTCTGGAGTCTCTCTGTCTTCCTGTCAGCCTCTTTCTCTCCACATACTGAACTAAAACAAACTTTTTTTATTGATTTTATTTCTTGATTTTTTTTTTCTTTCAAGAAAGTAAGTTATAAAGCCAGTCATCAAAGTATAAGTCAGAAAATGGAAAGTGATTACATTCTCTCTCTCTCTCTGTCCTCTTCTGGAGTCTAAAGTCTGAATGTCAGAGCGACGCTCGGCTGTGGGTGGAGATATTCTCTTATTCAGTCAGTCTCACTCATTTGTTGTTGCTCAATCCACAAGATCCACTGCTGCTCACAAATCAGACGACTACATTCACAGTTAGCAAAGACATGCAGGAAAACTGTGAGCTGATGAAAGTCTGTGATTCGTTGCTACTTTAGCTGCAGGATTTCAAACAGAACTGAACTGTGCAGTCAAAATGTTTCTAATGTTTTCAGAATCGTTCTGGAGGTTCATCATTGTGTCTGTGGGTTTAGCAGCACTCATAATAATTGTTGTGGCAGTCAACATCTGGACAAGAACTAAAGGTGAGAACATTCACAGATGAAACTCAGAAACAGGAAGTTTTGATAAAGCTGGATTTTCACTGTGGAAACTAAAGTCGACTCTTTCTCTTTTCTTTTCAGGGACAAAAACACAGATGGATGAAAACACAGTGAGTTTATAATGTTTTTACAGTTGGTACTTTACACAGCAAACCAGAGTTTGTGACATCTGTTCTTCATTCTGAAGTGTAGATATAGATAGAAGAAGACAAACAGAAACAGGACTCACTGTTTTATATTGAACCTCTAGTGACTTTAAACAACACAGATAGTTTAGTTTTATTTCCAAAAACAACGTCCACGTTACTGTACTACTATAAAATCTAGTTCCAATGCAAACTGTCCAGCAGCCAGTCAGATAAAGATCAGATCTGACAGTAACTAATGGTGCGTTCAGGGTCTGCTGACTGTGAACTGTGTTCAGTTTCAAAACATCAGCAGTAAACTGGGAGGAACATTTTGGATTTGAGGTACCACATAAACACTCCCTCTCTGGTCAGTCAGCTGCAGGAACATGTAATATTTATTTATTTTACTTTAATTAATAAATTAATTTCCTTCTGCGTGTCCTTCGTTACCACAAAACCACTTCCTCTCTCAGTGGCAGAAACGTAACAGTAACTGATGGTGCGTTCAGGTGCTGTCAGATTATTTCTTATCTCCTTGTGTTAAAGCGGCTATATGTAAGTATTTGATTTTAATAAATCAAATTTTCATTGCCTTATTGTCAGTGTGCTCAAAACTCACTCAGAAATGAAGCACACGCTTGTTTTGCTTGTTTTGCTTGCGTCAGCCACTATTGTGCTTTTAATGTGAGGACTCCGGGTCGGATTCAGCCCTGTGCGCGCTCCCGAGCCTCTCTCGTACTACAGCGACAACACGGCAGCTAACGACATGCAGTCCACTAACACCATAAAACAACCGGCGCACAGCAAAACACAGGCTCCACGTAAGGATACAAAACAACAATAAAGGTTTATGTGCTGAAGCCCATCAGACCAAACAGGTTCAGATGATGTCGAGTAAGAACAAAGTGAGCATTAGTAAAGCTGGAGAAACACAGAGAAAGTCACGTTAGCTCGCCGGTGTTGTAGCCCTACTGGTGTTCAAACTAACTGGTTGGCGTACGCGTGCTCGTGTTGTGTGCAGCAGCTGCAGACTGACTCCATCCCCAGATTCATCACACATTCACAAACATGTTCCTGGCGAGTTTCAAGTCCCATATTTAATCTACTGCGGCGATCAGGATTGTATAAGTGAGCACTACATTACAGCGACATACGAAAAAAGAAATGAAATAAAATAGACTTTGTATAAAATTGCGTCAAGCTGGATTCGAACTCATCTGAGCAAAAGGTAACATCTACTTCAAACTCCCCACGTTACCTGTAAACTAACCGAGCAATCATAGATTACTGTCGTCCAGTCACGTCATCATCCAGGTAACACTTTGTTTGGGCTGATCTAAAACAACTGGTTACCTTGAGCGATCTTAAAAACACCAGAACATGTTTATCAAGGTTTTTTTTCTCGAGGCTTCGGCAATATTGACTCCCTAGACACTATGACACGGGAATACTTTTTAACAGTGACTATCTAACTCCGACAATACTGTGAAAACATGAATTTATTGTCGGCCAGCCGCAGGAAGAGTAGAAGTGGAAATATTCTGCCCACAACACAGCAAGCCTAAGGCATGGACTTCATTCACATCCATCCTTCCTATATTGTAGACTGTAGTAAAATACGAGGCACCCACTCTCCTCTGCTGTCCTCTTTATCAGTAAATGCTCATCAGTTCCGCGTTTTAATACCGAGCTTTGGCTGCTCCAAATCAGAGAGACAGCTAGCTCAAATAGTGGCATCGGCAGCTACCAGTGGCATTTCCAGTGGCAGCTTGAGATGCCACAGATTTTTCCTGATATGCCACGGCACCTTTCGCTGTTTGTGTATTTCTGGTGAAACCGACATGCCACAGATTCACTCAGGCACCTGCCGTTGTTTGTGTGGGATTTCTGGTTGCAATGTAACGTTACCATGCTACGGCATCTGCCGCTGATTGTGTACGTTAGGTCGCCACTGATTTACTGTGAGATCTGCCGCTGATTCAAATCAATCAATCAATAAACCTGGACCGAGAGAAATATGTTAGCAACAGTAGTTTATTATGCAATATATAATATTGTGCATTTCTTCATGTAAACAGCAAGAGTCACGTTTAATGAACGCATTGTTTGGTGCAATACAGCTGGTAGTTTAACCTAGGTATTTATTGTGTGTGCAGAGTTGTTACTGTTAGCACTATATTTAATATTAAATTCATATTTAATGTGGTTTTCATAGTAATAGATATGTTTCGCCTTTCTACCAGCAGGTGGCAGTATTTAAATGAAAGTCCAGTTTGTGTCTCTGTTAACCGTTTTAAATCCAGGTTACCGATACAGATGCATTTATTGTTCTTCATTTCATTTGTTTTTTCATTATTAAGGATTA